CATAAAGCCTATTTTAGGACCATTAAGATAAAACAAAATAATTTTTTCGTGATAATTAAGTTATCATTAATGTGATGCGGGAGAAATAAACATTGTAAAGTATTTAAATAATATGATCATGTTTTTTGTACTTTCGTTTTTGCTGATTTAAATTAAATGAATAAAATTAAATTATAAAAAAAAACAAAATGTAAACATGTGAAACACTTTTTTCATATTCAATGAAATTTATTTAATCTAAATATTTAATGTATTTAAATTTTATATTAAATATTACAATAACTATTTCTTATTATTTTAACAGTATCCATTTCATTTTTCTCAAATAATTTCATATTTCATGGTTTTTTTATTTCATCAAAGCAAATATTTAATATGAAAGTATTATTAAAACTATTAATTTAATAATATTAATATAATTTAATTTGAACAAATAAAATCATTAAACACGACATCTAAATATTTAGCATATTTAAATAAATATTTAATATTAAATTAAATTAATATCATGAATTAATAATTATGAATTTATCATTTTCGTAAAACATTTCATATTTAATGAAATGTATATTATTATTTCATAATAATCTAAAATAAATATTTAAGTTACTATTAAAACACAAATAATTGTATTAATTCCATTCAATTTTAAAGGGGGGGTACAACACTGTTTCATGCATTCAGAGTAGTTTACACCGTTAAAGAGTTGGATTCTCATGCTGAGCATGGACCAAGTTTCAAAAAACTATTTGGACTTATGACGGAGTATTTCTGTGCCAAAAATCGTACTTCCGGGTTCGTACAAGTTTCAGAGAGTTTTTTTATAGTGGCTCTTCATGACATAGACGAGGGTGGAACTCCTTATATGGGCATTTCTCCCGGAAGAACGCGCCCGCGCACGCATCGACCCGAGCCAGAGCGAGATCGCACTCATCAACACGCTTCATTCAGCGGCAGCGCTGCACGGGACTCGCTCGGGAAGAATGTCTCCAAAGAAGTGTGTATCTGGTTGTAAGGGAAAGATAACTTTGTTCAGCTTCCATAAAACCCAGCGTTATGTAAACAGTGGATGCAGTTTGTTTTTCCGGAGCAGCAACGCAGTTTCACAAGTGTGTTTGTTGACGAACGTTTTATAAACAAGGCCCAGTTCGACGCTGGATTTGCGCATCGTTTGATACTGAAAGATGGAGCGGTCGAGCTATAAAAGATCCCGGTCATGATTCAGAACTGCAGACGGTGAGTGAAACCGCATCAAATGTCTGTTTTGTTGGCATCCGGCGCCCAAGTGCTCGTCACTCTTTAGCTCCGCCCACGGCGCGCTTCCAGGAGCTCGGCTGTTTCCGGAGAGAATCGTAAAGCTGTATCTTTCTTTTATAAATATGATAAAACTAAAGACTTTTTGGAGATATGAAGGATGCAGTACTACTCTATAGGCACTCAAGATTAACATGAGATTGGGTGAAACTCTGTGTGTTATGTCCTCTTTACATATTTATTTTTAATATCGTGAATAATGAGCATTACCAATAAAAATCGAGAAACAAGTAAACCATATGGATGCAACAAAATATCATTTAGTTTCTGACTGTGGGCTGAAATGCAACATGGACGTGTCAACATTCGATTGTGTGTTGTGTGCTCGCAGGTGTTCCAGTGCGCTAAAGAAAGCGCCTCCCACCATCTGCCGCCCTCCGACACCATCCTGGTGAACCTGTGCATGGCCAACCTGCTGACGTCAGTCTTCCGGACAGTGCCCATCTTCGTGTCGGATCTGGGTCTGGAGGTGTCGCTGTCGCCGGGCTGGTGCCGCGTCTTCATGCTGCTGTGGGTGTGGTGGCGCTCGGTGGGCTGCTGGGTGACTCTGGCCCTCAGCGCCTTCCACTGCGTGACCCTGCGGAGGCAGCATGTTAGCATGGGTCCGCTGGGTCATCAGCGCGAGCGCCGGCGCATCTGGGGCGTCCTGGGCGTCGTCTGGGCCGTCAACCTGCTGTTCTCGCTGCCGGCGCTGGTGTACACGACACATGTGCGCGGAAACGCCACGGTGGAGCTGATGGTGATCAGCTGCACGACTCGCCCGCTGCTGGGCTGCGTTTGGGAGTTTCCCACCGACCAGCAGGGCTACGCCTTCGCCTCCACGTCGCTGGCGCTCAACGAGGTCATGCCGCTGATTCTGATGGTCGGGACTAATTTCGCGACACTGCACTCGCTGGCCAAACACATCCGGGCGGTGACGGCGGGCGGCGGCGGCGCGGCGGAGCTGGACGTGTCCAGCGAGAGGAAGGCGGGTCACGTGATCATGGCTCTGGTCGCTCTGTTCGTCGGCTGCTGGGTGCTGCAGGTCGCCGCGGTCACGTACTACAACCACAACGGCGGGAAGCACACGGAGGGACTGCTGACCGTCGCGCATTTCTCGGCATCGCTCTTCGTGGGCTTCAGTCCGCTGGTGGTGACGCTCGGACACGGGAAACTGCGCCGGAGAATCAGCGCGATGATGCAGCGCTGGACGCACTGGATCACACGCTCGCGAGCGGACGCCGCCGCGCAGAAAGACGCAACAGTCGCGAAAACCGCACAGAGCGGGAAAACGTGACTTATATTTGCATCAGTCATGTGCGCAAATTGAGGACATTTTATTTTTCAGGATTCACAGGCAAATAAGAAGTTACAAAAAACAATTTAATTTGAAACAGAAATCTTTTGTGACGGTATAAATGTCTTTACTGTCACTTTTGATCAATTTAATACGGAAATCCATTTCTGCTACTGAATAAAAAAGTTTCTATCTCACACTTATGACTTTTTTTCGCAACTGCGAGTTTATATCTTACAATTCTGAGAAATATAAACTCGCAATTGCAAAAAATTTAAGAATTGCAAGATATAAACTCGTAATTGTGAGAAAAAAGTCAGAATTTTGAGATAAAAACTGAATTGCGAGAATAAAATCAGAACTATGAGATAAAAACTCACAATTGCGAGAAAAAAGTCAAACTTGTGAGATAAAAACTGAATTGCGAGAAAAAACTGAATTGCGAGAATAAAATCAGAACTATGAGATAAAAACTCACAATTGCGAGAAAAAAGTCAGAATTTTGAGATAAAAACTGATCTGCGAGAATAAACTGAATTGCGAGATAACTCAATTGCGAGAAAAAAGTCAGAATTGTGAGAAAAAAACTGAATTGCGAGAATAAACTGAATTGCGAGAAAAAAGTCAGAATTGTGAGAAAAAAACTGAATTGCGAGAATAAACTGAATTGGAAGAAAAAAGTCAGAATTGTGAGAAAAAAACTGAATTGTGAGAAAAACTGAATTGCGAGAATAAAATCAGAACTATGAGATAAAAACTCACAATTGCGAGAAAAAAGTCAGAATTTTGAGATAAAAACTGAATTGCGAGAATAAACTGAATTGCGAGATAACTCAATTGCGAGAAAAAAGTCAGAATTGTGAGATAAAAACTGAATTGCTAGAAAAAAGTCAGAATTGAGATAAAAACTCACAATTGCGAGAAAAAAGTTAGAATTTTGAGATAAAAACTGAATTGCGAGAAAAAAGTCAGAATTGCAAGATAAAAACGGAACTGCGAGAATAAACTGAATTGCGAGATAACTCAATTGCGAGAAAAAAGTCAGAATTGTGAGAAAAAAACTGAATTGCGAGAATAAACTGAATTGCGAGATAACTCAATTGCGAGAAAAAAGTCAGAATTGTGAGAAAAAAACTGAATTGCGAGAATAAACTGAATTGCGAGATAACTCAATTGCGAGAAAAAAGTCAAAATTGTGAGATAAAAACTCAATTGCGAGAATAAAATCAGAACTATGAGATAAAAACTCACAATTGCGAGAAAAGTGTCAAAATTTTGAGATAAAAACTCAATTGCGAGAATAAAATCAGAACTATGAGATAAAAACTCACAATTGCGAGAAAAGTGTCAAAATTTTGAGATAAAAACTCAATTGCGAGAATAAAATCAGAACTATGAGATAAAAACTCACAATTGCGAGAAAAGTGTCAAAATTTTGAGATAAAAACTCAATTGCGAGAAAAAAGTCAGAATTGTGAGAAAAAAGTCATAATTGAGATAAAAACTCACAATTAACTTTTTTATTTTTAATTCAGTGGCAGAAACGGGCTTCCGTACTTTAATGCGTCCTTGATGAATAAAAGTATTGATTTCTAATTAAATCACACTTATCCAAATGTTCTTGCAAAAAATATTGTGCAGCACAACTGTGTTCAACATTGATAATAATCAGAAATTTGCAAAAATATTGTGCAGCACAACTGTGTTCAACATTGATAATAATAATCAGAAATGTTTCTGGAGCAGCAGATCAGCATATTATACTGATTTCTGAAGATCATGTGACACTGAAGACTGGAGTAATGATGCTGAAAATACAGCTGCGCATCACAGAAATACATTACAGTCTAACAGAGATTCACACAGAACACTGCTGCTTGAAACTGTAATAATATTTCACTATTTTTATTGTATTTATGATCAAATAAATGCAACCTTGGTGAGCAGAAGAGACTCAAAACCTTCAAAAATTATTGCAAACCTTTGGCCGCTATAGTATACATGAAAAAAGAGCAAATATGAGGTGATAAAAATGATTAATGCATTCATGTTTTTAAAATTCCAGTAAATAATGAATAAATCTGAAGTTAATAATGCTGTTCAGAATCCAGTGTTTCACTGCAATTAATCGCGTTTGAAGCAGAAATCTGAGCAAATTCTGAGGTTTTTGTTTTAAACAAGAAAAGAAACGTAATTTTCTTCAAAAACATGTATATGTATAAAACCCTATGCACTTATGAGGCCCAAGTAAACGGATGTTGTTTTAACCATTTTTGCTCTTTTATTTAGTTTTATTCTTATGTGTAAATAAATGACGGTTTTATATGATCCGCAGTGTCAGTGCATTGCTGTTAATCGTCTCAAACACACACGATATCTGCAGAGAATCTCCAGTCAAGTCTGAACAAATTCACAGACATTCGTTCAAGAGTTTAATCAGTCGAACAGCAGCCAGACACGATACAGATACAGACAAACATGATGTAGTCCAAACAAAAGACTTTTCCTCAGTCACAGAGAACTCGGTTTGACTGATGATCGACACGCTGAAACTATTTCATAACGCAGCATGTCTCTGATATCTGATGTCTATCCAAATACAGAGATTATACGCGACAGGACTGACGTTATAAACGCCCGCAGCTGCCTGTGGCCCACGGCGAGGACGATGGGCGAGAACGCGATGAAGCTCATGTTGGCGAAGCGAGCGATGATGAGCAGGAACTCCGTGGAAGATCCGCGGTTATAGTTGAAGTAGTTGACCGAGATGACGTTCGTTCCCCACGACGAAATGAAGAGCACGTTTAGAGTCAAAATCACCTGAGAAAACACAGAAGTTCTGTTAGTCGAGTTTAACTTTGACCCGGAGGAGATGCATAAAAAGTTCTAAAAAATGCATAGTGTTTAATAAGGGAACGACACTTATGCTTTAAGACCCTCAAAATACACATAATTTTACATTTTTACAAGAGATGCAACCATTTAAATTGTTCAGGTCATTTTGACCCAGGTATGTGTGGAGCACCATTAGTGCCAAAAATACTTTTGTTAAATGACCTTTGAAGTTATATTAGTGTCAAAAACCTGTTGTAAAATATATTTCACATTTTCTCCATACCTCACACAGTTTTGGACTGAATTGTGTTGATGAACATGAACGTGCGTCTATCGACGTGAAAACCTGATTACGTTTCATCTGAAAGTGAAATCTATGCACGTAAGACGAATTTACTTTGTTGAAAATGTCATACTTGTGTCATTTTGCTAGACACAAACATGTAGGTTTTATAAATGGGAACAGCTTTTGAGCAATCATGAGTTAAATTAAATTCCATTAATTCTCAGATTGTATGTTCTTATAAATTTCACACAATCATAAATTCAAATAAAATTTCTAATCAATACGGAGAAAAATATATGTGTATTTTGTATCATTTTTTTGTGTGTGTGGTTCATGTGCAATATGAAATTTCAAAGAATTTCCCAAAAAATTTATTAAAAAGAGATAAATGCAATAATAACGTAATAAACTTTGAATTTTTTCCATGCACACTCATTAATGAGATCAGACATTAAATTAAGGCTGTTTTATAAAGCAACAATCCTTCGGGTCCAAACGGATGCAGAATGCAAAGCAGCATGCAGATTTTAAATGCATTATACAGTAATTTCCAATTGAAATCCCACACTCACTTTAGCGGCCCGTCGCTCCGCGGGGATCCGGGTGACGACTGGCGCGTCCTGACTCTTGTTGCCGGTGTTGCGCGAGTGTCCGTGAGCGTACAGCGTCAGCAGCGAGCCCAGGTTGGTGACGTTCATCAGGCAGATGGGAATGGATTCGTGGATCACCATGGAGGAGGTGGCGAAGGCCAGGCCGCTGTATGCCGAAGGAAAGTCCCAAATACAGCCCATCAGCGGCCGAGTGGTGCTGCTCACCAACATCAGCGTCTGCAGGAGAGGTCAGAGGTCAAACGAGGTCGTGCACGAGGTCAACACAGATAAAGAGTCGGACTGACCTCGGTGGAGTTCTCGTCTCCGTTCTTGGAGAAGATGAACGCTGGGATGGCGTAGATCAGATTGAGGCTCCAGACGAGGACGAAGCCGAGGATGAGGGATCCAGGGGGCCCGCGGGGGCCGTGCAGGGTGATGACGGGCGGAGCGACCCGACGCAACGTCTGGAAGTGAAACGCACTGAGAAAGAACGTCGACCAAACGTTGGCGGAGCGCAGCCAAACCCAGATGCCCATCATAAGGTGGCACATATCTCTACTGAGGAAAATCTGTGAGGAAACACACAAGTTGGTGTTCGAATCAGAGGAATCACATAAACCATTAGCTATGTTTCCATCCAAAGATTCGAATTTAACTTTAAATAGAGCATTAAAATAGGTGGATGGAAACATAGCTATTGACATAATCCACAAACAAAACAAGAATTTCAGACCGGACAAACTTGCCAAGTGTTTAGATTGTAAAGCACATTCTATCCAATAAAATACTCTTGATTTAGAGTCAAACTGGTTTTTAGTTGGTTTTGAATGTTCTGAACAGTCAATAGCTCTAGTAATGAATCAAACTCCCAGCAGTAGCCTACATAACCCAATCAATCTCTGAAGAACGAATCAATAGACCCGCCAAACCCAGTACTCTTGATTTAGAGTCAAACTGGTTTTTAGTTGGTTTTGAATGTTCTGAACAGTCAATAGCTCTAGTAATGAATCAAACTCCCAGCAGTAACCTACATAACCCAATCAATCTCTGAAGAACGAATCAATAGACCCGCCAAACCCATTATTTTTGGTGGTGGTCCTCAAGTCAAGACCTTCACAAAACTGGACCAAAAAGAAACCAGGTTGGGTTTATACCTTAGAGACTGAACCCAGATTGCAGCTCCACACCTCAATATCCATCCATTCATTAATAATTATCCATCCAACCAAACCACTGTGTTGAGAATCACACGAACCATCGACACAATCCACCAACCACAAACAAGCATGTTTTAGCTTTATCTGTCAAGTGTTTGAAATTGTAAAGCATGTTTCTATTCAATAAACGACACTTGAGTCAAACTGGTTTTTAGTTGGTTTTGAATGTTCTGAACAATCACTAACTCTAACTCCCAGCAGCAACCTAAATAACCCAATTAATCTCTGAAGAATGAATCAATAGAGCTATCAAACCCCCAAACGTGAGTTGATGTTGTTCTTCTACTGTGTCAGCAGCTCAAAACCATATAGAGTTATAGAGATTGAACCCAGATATCCACACCCCATTCACTAATAATTATCAATCCAACCAAACATGCATCCACTTGGTCATGCCATCGTACCTCCGCTCCCAGATCGGACACCATCACGACTGTGTTTCTAACCAAAGACTTTATACCTTAGAGACTGAACCCGGATTGCAGCTCCACACCTCAATATCCATCCATTCATTAATAATTATCCATCCAACCAAACCACTGTGTTGAGAATCACACGAACCATCGACACAATCCACCAACCACAAAACAAGCATGTTTTAGCTTTATCTGTCAAGTGTTTGAAATTGTAAAGCATGTTTCTATTCAATAAACGACACTTGAGTCAAACTGGTTTTTAGTTGGTTTTGAATGTTCTGAACAATCACTAACTCTAACTCCCAGCAGCAACCTAAATAACCCAATTAATCTCTGAAGAATGAATCAATAGAGCTATCAAACCCCCAAACGTGAGTTGATGTTGTTCTTCTACTGTGTCAGCAGCTCAAAACCATATAGAGTTATAGAGATTGAACCCAGATATCCACACCCCATTCACTAATAATTATCAATCCAACCAAACATGCATCCACTTGGTCATGCCATCGTACCTCCGCTCCCAGATCGGACACCATCACGACTGTGTTTCTAACCAAAGACACCATCAGGTTGGAGAAAGCCATGTTGACCAGAATCACATCAGAGCTCCGGACGGATCCCGTCTCGCGCAGAAGGCTTTCCCCGACCACTGCGATGACCGTGGTGTTCCCCACGTTCCCCAGCATCACCAGAATGACATAGAGAGCGAAGTATAACGGCGACGAAGAGATCTGCTGACTGACGCTTGAGGGTTTTCTTTGAGGGGCCATGTTTCTTCAAACGTCTTCAGACGTCAATCGTGAATGGAGCTTCTCTCAGAATGTCTCAGAGATGTAGTCATTTCTCCATCCAAGCGCCTCCCTCTCCGCCCATCGACCGCGAGCCCCTTTTATGGGCCGTGGTTACCAGATAAATATCAAACCAATGGTTCTGCTGTCATAGGAGAAGACGGCATGAATGGCAGGTGAGATTCCACCAGAGATATCAATGTTTTGGGATACATGAGCTGAACTTGCATCTTTGCACACGAGGGAGTAAATATCCCCACCTGGTTAATTAAACTCAAGCTAGTTAGCAGTCTAATTCATTAGTAAGCCCACCACAATCCCACAGAGTGTGGGTCCAAAAACAAAAACTCCTGAAGGTCGTTACTGGAGTCATGGTTTTAAGAACAATGCTCTTTGTACTTTCGATTAGGGATGGTCAATCCTCTCAACACATAAAACTACTGATTCTGAGTACAATGCATAATGAGCGTCGTGCATACTGAGCACATTGTCTAAACTACGCATACTCTATTTAGATGCAGAGTGGTTTCCACCAACCTGATGACCTGATTAATATCTGTTTTAATCACACACTGTTGGCGTCCAAGAGAAACAGACAGTGATGGAGATGACCACCGACCTCTGAAAGAAAGACATTTTGAACATATTCATTTTCATATTAAACACCGCATCAGTCATTTATCATTAGACTGAAAGAGTTTTGAGTGTGACAGTTTGTATTAATTCAAACCATTCAAGTCAATTTATAACAAAAATACAGCAACCCAGAAGATAAGTAGAAAAATAACCCCCAAAAAATCAACGGTTAATGCAGTTTAAACATGGTAACCACAATTGGCCATGGTTTTGCCACACTAACCATAGTTCAAACGTGGAATTTGTAGTAAAACTGTGGTTATAAAAATGGTAATCAATCCACCAAAAAAAAAAAACATGGTATAATTTTACTATAATAAAACCATGGCTAACTGTCGTAAAGGAAGATATTTGGATAATGGGGGGATTTGTTCATATATTTTATATAAATGTAGACGAACAATCCAGCTAACAATTTTTGGTTCCCAGAACGTTATTTTTTATGGTTTGTTTTTGGTTAGCCAGGAAAGTTCTCTTAACGTTCCCAGAACGTTTGTTTTTACTTATGCTATTATTCTAATGTTCCCCTAACGTTATTCTAACGTTCCCAGAAAGTTCGTTTTTGTTTTTAAAACGTTAATCTAACGTTAGAACGTTCTCTGTATGTTAATTTTAGGTTATTTAATAAACACCACAATGCAACGTTCTTGGAACGTTATTTTATGGTTACAAAAAAAACTAAAAAGAATGTTCCCCTAACGTTAGTATTAGGTTACCAAAAAAATAACCAAACGGTAACCAAAAACTAACGTTAGGGGAACGTTCTGTGTTTGCTGGGAATGATGTGTTAAGCACATACACACATAAATACATATATTGATGTACAAATAAAGCAATCGTGATGTAAACGTGTGTTAATCGGCTGATGCGCGCTCCTATTTTAAATCATTTTTAACGGTCGATCGCCACAGAAAACACGCAGGATCGGAAAACATTTAAACTTTAAACTGTCAAGAAACGCAAACAGACGGATGCGTTTCAAATGTTTTTTTGCAAATGCATGTGAAATGAATAGATGAAATATGAACCATAAATTAATGAAACACTCAAACTCATCAGGTGATCTCAACGGCATTCTTCATCATATCAAAGCTCACTCTTCTGCATCTCAGTTCTCTGGTTGTGGATTATGAGTTAAATCGATCCTAGTGTGATGTTGTTGTTTAATAGTCGCTAGAAACACATCACAACTCAATACTGCTGTCAATATGACACACATCTGGCTGACTGATGCAGAAAGAGACATTTATTAACACAATGTACGAGAATTGAACCGCTTACGTGTTTGGCTCCATTTTTAAGACTCTGCTCTGTTAAAAATGCTGGGTTAGAAAAAACAACAACAACCCAATCTGGTGGATAAATATAGGACAGAAGAGAACATGAAGGGTTAATCTATTATAATAATTGGGCTGCACAAGTAACCCAGCTGTTTAAAACTATTCTAGGAGGAAGGGAGCAACAGCTCAGTGAGCTGGAATCTGTGGCAGAATAACAATTTTATGGCATAAACATGATTTTATTTTACTTTAGTGCACATACACTTGCTAATATTTATGTTAGCAATGTAAAAACACAATCTAAGAGTAAAGAAACACAGGTTTACCTTGTGCCGTCTTTCCGTCAAACACTGGCGTTGGTGCGACGTGACGTGGCACATTTGGATCGCTCCCATTATAATCAGTGAAGCTGCCCACACTGCAAACCCTTCTCTGATTATAACAGAAGCGGTCCAGTGTATGTCTGCATTCGTCCAAAGCCAACAGCCCTAGCAGACATGAAATAATAATAACCATATTATCTGAGACAGCAGATGTTTTTCAGTCTCTACTGCAGTAACAATTTGATAGAAACACGAGAGAGTACAAACCTTCAGTTCAGGACAAATGAAATTTTCGATTCTTCAGTTTTTATTATTACTGATGCTTCAGTTCCATTCAGGTTGATGCAGATAAACCGTCCGCTCTCACAGCCATTATATGAGTTGATATGTGTCCAAAAATTCTTTGGAATTTTGATAGGAGACGTCCTATAGACGTATCGCAGATGAGCAATGCTCTAAAAAATACATCTTGCAGATGTAATGCCGACGTCAAATAGACATCTCCGTGATGTACATGTGCTAGTTTTACATACATTCTAAATCATAAACATCTTAGAGACATCTTAAAGACATCTGATAGGAGACGTCTCGCAGATGAGCAAACGCTCTAAAAAATATGTCTTGCAGATGTAATAAAGACGTCAAATAGACGTCTCCGTGATGTACATGGGCTAGTTTTACATACATTCTAAATCATAAACATCTTAGAGACGTCTTAAAGACATCTGATAGGAGACGTCCAATAGACGTATCGCAGATGAGCAAACGCTCTAAAAAATACATCTTGCAGATGTAATGCCGACGTCAAATAGACATCTCCGTGATGGACATGTGCTAGTTTTACATACAATCTAAATCATAAACATCTTAGAGACATCTGATAGGAGACGTCCAATAGACGTATCGCAGATGAGCAAACGCTCTAAAAAATACATCTTGCAGATGTAATGCCGACGTCAAATAGACATCTCCGTGATGGACATACATACATTCTAAATCATAAACATCTTAGAGACATCTTAAAGACATCTGATAGGAGACGTCCAATAGACGTATCGCAGATGAGCAAACGCTCTAAAAAATACATCTTGCAGATGTAATGCCGACGTCAAATAGACATCTCCGTGATGGACATGTGCTAGTTTTACATACATTCTAAATCATAAACATCTTAGAGACATCTGATAGGAGACGTCCAATAGACGTATCGCAGATGAGCAAACGCTCTAAAAAATACATCTTGCAGATGTAATGCCGACGTCAAATAGACATCTCCGTGATGGACATGTGCTAGTTTTACATACATTCTAAATCATAAACATCTTAGAGACATCTTAAAGACATCTGATAGGAGACGTCCAATAGACGTATCGCAGATGAGCAAACGGTCTAAAAAATACATCTTGCAGATGTAATGTCGACGTCAAATAGACATCTCCGTGATGTACGTGTGCAATCGCGATTCTCTTTTTGCTTTTTGAAAGGCACCCAACCCTGAGTCTTTCCTCTTGAGTAAATACATGTAGCTTTATTAAAAATTAATAATGTGACACACAGAAACACACTTTTATGATGCAGAATATAATGTGATATGTCTTTGATATATGTAGCTTGTCTGTCCATATAGAGTGAGACAGCTGTCTGTCAGATTATACACGACAGAATTGACTTCATGAACGCTCTGAGCTTCCTGTGGCCCACGGCGAGGACGATGGGCGACAGCGCGATGAAGGTGATGTTGGCGATGCGAGCGACGATGAGCAGGAACTCCGTGGACGAGGTGGAAGATCCGCGGTTATAGTTGAAGTAGTTGATGGAGATGATGCTGGCGCCCCAAGACGAGATAAAGAGGACATTCAGAGCCAGAATCACCTGAGGAAACACACAGAGATGTTCCGCTATCACTCATTCTTCTGTTCTGTGATACTGATTCAAAAACAGCATGATCTATTCACACTTCTGTCACTTGCTGGAGAACCAGAACATGAAGCGACTTGCATGTGTTCCCAACGGACGCTGATCTGCTCTTCCCACAGGATTACGGCCGTAATAGAGGATCCACGAAGCTCATTAGCGGAGGAAATTATATCTTCACGGTATAATTAGGGGTTGGGTCTGGGACTGCACGGCTTAGTAGGTCTTGTTGGATTTGTACACTAGGTTTGAGAGAGAACCACTGAAATCCAAATCGATCATGTCTGTAACGTCGCGATAAACATTAGCATTTTAGTAGGTATTTAAAATGACTCTGTTTCTCTTTTGGGAGGACGGACTAAAAGCGTCGATGACATCATCATGCACTTGGGGGCATGTCCGGTTTTTTGTCCGGTAAGTGCATTAACATATACAGAAAACTAAACCATTTTGCGGGATCTTCGAGGATGTTAATGTCACCCCAGGTCTTCTGTTTAATACATACTAGCAGTACCTGATTACATGTAATCTGGATTACATAATCAGATTCCAAAAAACGAACTGCTTGTAATTAGAGTATATTACATTTCAGATTACAGCTACTTTTTATGGATTAAATGATTGCATGTTATTCACACAATGGCAGTAAATCATTCTCCCTAATTACTCTTTTAAACTTCCTCTGTAACAATCCTGCTGTGTGTCGTACCATTTAGCTATGACTATATTCACAAATGTCGTGTATGCAAACCATGCTTCTGAATTTGAGGGGGAAAAGCACTTCTAAAGCTATCAGACCATTTATGAAACAAATAATGAAGTCTGGACAAAAATATTTAAATCCTGGAAGACTTTAGGCGTGTAATGTCATTGCTGTTTTCATGTTTATTGTAACATGTGACATTATTCCAACTGTTCATTGCATTCCCTGGTTTAATGTATTTTATGTTGTTGATATCAAAAAAATTATATAATTTACATCAATTTGGTGTGTTTAATGGTAAGTTTGATAAGAAGTCATCTAAAAAGTAGTCAAAATAGCTCAAATGAGTAACCTAGATTATGTTACTAACTACAGTTTTCATCATGTAATCTGTAATCAGTTACAGACTGATGGATTACTTCTCAAGTAATCTACCCAGAGTTTGGTTAGGAACATTGTGCTCACCTTAGCGGCCCGTCGCTCCGCGGGGATCCGGGTGATGATCGGCGCGTCCAGACTCTTCTTGGCGGCTCTTCGTGTTTGTCCGTGAGTGTAGAGCGTCAGCAAGGAGCCCAGGTTTGTGGCACTCATCAAGAAGATGGGAATCATTTCATGGATGACCATGGAGGAGGTGGCGAAGGCCAGGCCGCTGTAGACCGACGGGAA